TCCGCGTGTCGGCAGCGGGCTGGACCCGCAGCAGGGTGCTGGGATCGCAGGGTGGGGGATGATACCTTTACATGTGTCCAACAGGGTTGTGACCATCTCCTAGACCAGGATGTGAAGCTGAAAGTGTCATCTGGGGATCTCCTACTACTCCGGACACTTTCTCCTCTTCCCGACGCTTCAAGCAGGCTGCTTTAGGGTTCAGATTGCGCTCTGCGCCAAAAACAGCAAGGGAGGGAGGGAAGCAACCTCAGTCTGGGCAACAGCATCCGAAAGAGAAGGTGGGGACAGAGTTCCAGGACAGACACACGGGACCATGCGAGGAAATAACCTCAGAGGCTGCGGTAACTTGGCCGGACCCCTGCTAGAGCAAAACCCCGTGCCCAGCTGAGCCCCCACGCCAGTTTTAACACGTGCTTCCTTACAGAAAACCCCAAGCGCCGCGCGGAGTTGAGGATGGAGTTTTCCAAAGCTGAGATCAAAGCTGAGATCAAAGATGAGATCCAGGCACCAAATTCCCATTAAGCACAAGGAGGGATGGACAGAGCAGCCTCGAATCCGCCCCAGGCTGGGGCTTTGGGAAGCTGAGCCCACCGCACGCCGTGCCCGAGGGTGCCGCCGGCAACGCAACCGCGCAACCTCGCACCGAACGCGGGAGCCACGACAGAGATGCACGTGCACACAGAGACGTGGGGGGGAGAGAAAGGCCCCGAAATACACCTGCCAGCGGTTACCATACCTCGTACTTGCTGCTCCAGGCCCAGAATGACCTGCACCGCTTGCTGTAGGATGATCAGTTTGGTCTGTGCTTTGTCCGTTTTTAAGTGCATCTGACACATGCGTCCCAGTTCTTTAAAGGCCTCGTTAATGTCCCGCACACGCACCCTCTCCCTGGCGTTATTGGCCATTCTCCTCTCCCGGTCCCTCAGATCTTTGTCCTCCAGTGACAAGGCCTCGTCTGTACTGCTGGGTTCACAGCACCACAGGAATTAGTCAGGGGGGTGGTACCGAGGAGGGGGCTATACGTTGCCGTGCTGATAGTGCTTCTGGTGTCCACTGGAAATGGCTCAAACAGCCTCACTTTGCAAAGCCAATTGGTCTCGGGTGCTCCCTGGAGCAGCCCGGGCAGTCTGGGCTGCGTGTCGTCTCCACGAGCCACGGGAAGGTGCTGCCAGCACGGGGCCGGGCTCCTGTGGGGCTGGAGGGTGCTGCCACGGGCGAGGGTGGGCAGTGGATGCAGTACCGACACCATCGCCTCCTCCCCTCTGCAAAATTTTGCCTTCCTGTTTGTTTCCGGTGGAAAACTAAACGTTCAGGGAGGGTCTCAGCCAAAAACATGGGGTTCATCCCCCAAGGAAAGACTTTTTGGCAGAAAACGAATCCCTCTTTGTTAAGATTTCCTTCAAAAACCCCATCTGCAGCAAAATCCTCCCAGAGAGGCGACTGGAGCAGCCGTGTCACAGCAGTGCCAGGCAGCCTGCCTGGCCCAGCACCCTCTTACAGGTGGTGGGGCAGCACCGGGGGCAGGAGCCAAGTGCCCCAGTTGCTGCTGCGGCTTGGTCTCGGATGCAGACACTGAATACAGATCTTTCAACACAGCCAAAATCATAGAATCACAGAATGGCACAGGCTGGAAGGGACCTCAGAGATCATCTAATCCAACCTCCCTGCCATGGGCACTGCAGAAGGGAGTGATTTGCTTTCCCAGGCACGGTCAGGAGCTTTGGGAGAGCCTCCACTGCTGGCAGCACCTTTGGGTGTCCAAAACAGGCAGGAAGAGGGTGGGAAGGCAGAGTCGTGCTGGCAGCATCTTAAACCGTGGCCTTGCCCGCAGCCCGTCCCCTCCAAACCCCCGATTTACTGTACAGACGACTTTCTCCCCCAGAGCAAAAAGTCTTGCAGGAAAGACTCCTATCTGAGGAGGGTCCTTGGGTGACACCTGGCACTGGAACGGACTGTGGCCTTCGGCTCCAGGGGAGCCACGTGGGGATGAGCCTTCACCAAGGAGAGGCCACAGAGTCAGAGCCTCTCTGGGTGTGCCAGGGGTGTGGAGAGCTTCCTGACGGTGCCTGATGGCATGGAGGAGGAGCGAGGGCTCCCCAGGCCAGCGTTTGCCTGGCAGGGACAGAGGGTTGCCCACTGTCCCTGCCCGCATTCTCTCCTCGCTGCCTTGTCCCTGCTTGTGTCCCCTCTTCACTGCCTCG